CTTTTCTGGCGAATATGAGTTTGCAGCCCGAGCCGAAGGCGAGGGCTGCAATCATATGAGCTAGAAAAGTTTTTTTGGCCATATGACGAACAGTATTTTTTGTTATGACGGCCGTAGGCAGAGATGCCGTATGACGGCCGTAGGCAGAGATCCGCTCCACTCCGCGTCCGTGAAGCGCTGCCTCACGGCCGGAATGACAAAAAAATACTGTTCGTCATATGGCCAAAAAAAACTTTTCTAGCTCATATGATTGCAGCCCTCGCCTTCGGCTCGGGCTGCAAACTCATATTCGCCAGAAAAGTTTCTTTCGGCCTAGTGACGAAATATACTATTTTGGCGAATATGAGTTTCATTTTGCAGTTGCATGAGACAGAAAAGTTCTCCACGGCCGAATATGGAACAATTTTTTTGTCATAACGTCCGTGGGCGGTGTTTCATGAACTGAGTGATAACAAACTGTAATTTCAGCACTTTAATTGCGTAATGTATCATCCCAATTACATATTGCGCAATCTCAATTGCACATTGTACAGTTCAAACTGGTAAATGTTTAATTTGATGGGCGTAATTCAACATGTATAATTCAAGTATCTTCAATAGGGAACATATGTTTTTTTATTTCCCATCAAATCCTGCCGCAGGTTTGAGACAAGAACATTAGGTCAAAATAAAAAATTCCTATTTTTATTGTAATTATTTGCGGCAATAATTGATTAAAAATTGATCATTTAAACGCCCAGTTCTCGTGATGTGCCACCACAGCAGTGCAGTCATACGTTGCGAGTGACGGTCGACGGGTTGAGCTAAAATGTCTTTCGCAAATGTAACTTTGTAAAGCTGATACTCACTTCGAGGAAAATGAAGTCGTCAAAGTGTGGAAAGAAACATTCAATGAAGCATTTTTATCGCATGATGAAGTCATTAAAATGTTGGAAATGAGCTGTACTCCCAAAACTAATAAGTGTTGATGATTAATGCAAATTTGGTTTGGACATGACGGTTTGTGATTGTAAACGATGCACTAGTGGTGAATCAAGATGATACTGTTATTACTCTTGAAATTCTGTAATTTTTTCGAATAAATTTATTTTATAAATGCAAGAGAAAAACATGATGTACAAAAAATGAATAAAACTGTAATATGATTATTGAAAGTATCACTTAATTATTTTACTTTGAATATTGATTGAATATTCACTAAAGCTGCAGCGATAACAACATCATTCAGGCGGTCGAAAAGATTATGGTCGACATAGTATGTACTATGTATGTTCACTATTGTATAAACACACAAAATCCATAAATCTGAATTATACAATGTGGAATTTAAATTGCGCAATGTGTAATTGGGCTGGTATATTTTAAGTCAGTAGAATTCACCATGTATATCGTGTAATTAAAATGCAAGAATTACCATTTGTGCAGACAAGGTTTTGGTGCAAAACTTGAAATGTATTGTTGTTAAAGTATACTGATTGCTGAAGCAAAGTTGAAAGGGATGAGTTTAATAGGTCGATAGCTACATTTATTTTCTGAAAATCCTCGAAACAAGTGGGTTGGAAAAAATGTCAGAGAAGTTTTTTTGCCAAGAATTTTATGCACCACAAGAAAGGTTTTTTGACATTTTCCCATAAGCCTATGAGTTTGCGAGATATTCGCAAATCGGTGAGTGGAAAATTCCTTTTTTTTCTCTTGAGAGAATTCAGTAGCGAAGCGGTGAACCGGGTTATGTCGATTTTGAAACATTTTTGTAATAACCTTTTTTGTAGAGCCAATTGAGGGTTATAAAAAAGGTCACGAGAAAATTGTTGGTATTTCTCTTAGATTCCGAGATATTAACCAAAAACTGGCCAAAAGTACAAATCGACATGACCCGGTTAATTGCTTCGCTACTGAATTGAATCCCTTGCGAAAAAAGTGAAATGATATTCCCCTTCAAACTCGTTCCCGAAATATCTGCAAAATGATCTACCGATCCCTCATAAAATCATTTCCGACAACTTCCCTATCCATTGATAATCATCACCTGATTGGCAGTCGCCGAAAATTGTGATCTCTCAGCACATCTCGACTTCCTTGAAGGTGTAATTTTCCCGAGGTTATCGATACTTCCGCTCATTTTACTCAAAAGTCAGATGAATTCCTTAATTTACCCATAGAAAAGTCGAAAGAAACGCTTCACTGTTGAATTTCCATAATTTGAATGTTCAAAGACCCATCACTCAAGACTCCGTAAAAAAACTTCTGGATCACTTCATAGAGTCGATAAAAAATTCACCAACCATCCTCTTCAATGATAAAACAATGTGTATAAATTATTGATAGATTATTGAAAATTTATTTATCATTAATTTCACCGATAATTGACGTTAAAAATTTTGTGTATTGTTAAATCAATGCTAACGTGCAGTCTACTCCAGTCTATTCGCCCGATTCGCCCCTTCATCGGTGACTTAACCCTAAAAAATTATGTCGCTAGTTTGCGTAAATATACAGTGAAAGAGGCCGGTGATTGAGGTTAAACCCGTGAAGACCAGACAAAAATTCATAACAAAGGCGATTATCAATTACTAGTCAATTATTAACTGATTCCATTGATGTGAATATTAAAATAGGCAATAGAAAGATAACGATGCTTGTTAATTTGTTGAGGATTACTTCTTCTTTACGCTCCAATTTACTGCAGAGACTGCCTGAATCGAAAGAAAAGGTGCGATGCTATGGACTTTTCAGATCATGGGGATTGGAGTCGAGGTATTTAATTGATTGTAATTGTTAGTAACAATTCTCTCATTTAATAGTGGAGTGAAAAAATACTATAGAATAGCCCCGAAACAAGCAAGTTAAGATGATTCTTCACATCTGTAGTGGACGCGATCTGTACCACATAAAAATCGTGATCTCCTCATAACACAAGTATCTCAAAATTCGCGTTAAGACTAGGCTATCTCAAAATTCAGGTGAAAGCTTGTTGATCACATGCATTTCTAAGTCTCACGGAGCTCGGAAATCATTTTATTTCTCTTCCAATGTGAACTAATTTATGTTATTTGTACTTTTTGATGCATTTATAGCATTTATACAGGTGTCAAGAGAACGAAAATGTGAGATTTCAGACGATTTTTCACATGAATTTTGAGATACCCTTGTTTTGTAAAGAAAATTGAAATACCCTTGTTTTATTAGGAGATGTCGAAATAATTCCTACCGTTCCAATATTTTCTTCTCCTTGAGTCATCTTAGCCACGACAGTTATAAATATAGGGTTTCAACAATAAAGATAGAAAGTAAATAACATTCGGACTCTCCTCAAGAAGATTTTTGTCACGAAAATTTTATTGAATTCCTATAACAAACCAAAAAAACTTTTTTTTTTAAATAATAGAAAATCAATTGACTGTTGAATGAAATCATGAAATAATTCAAATTAGAAGAAAAATCACGAAGTATCGATGTAGTAAAAATGTACTAAAATGTCCTGAAGGACGTAGTAGAATTACGAATTCAAATAAACAAGTGTCAAAATACATTTATTGTGAGAATGTCGTCAGCTACAGAAAAGATCTTCCTGCATTTCATAATAATCCCATTCAGTGATGAGATAATTACGTAATAATTAATGAAAATTCTATGTTTAGCGGAATTTATTACTAAGTTACTAAGCTCATATCGATTATTTTGAGGATAACTCTGAAATTATTGAGTCTAGGAAAAAACGTTCGTAAGGCGTTAGATAATATATTTTTTTCTAGTGGTGAAGGGAAAGCTTTTTTTTTAATGAAACAGGATTGACGCCCTTAACAAGATTTTCCTGTTTGATTGGATTCATTACTGAAGCATTGGTTCCAAGTTTTTAATAGTTTAAGGATGTTCGACACCCTTTTAGCCAAAATTGACGTTGTTTTCATTTTTCTGGCAAATTATCGATGGGAGTGACGTGAAAAAATATAACGATTTTGTGGTTTGTCATTCTTTAATGGCTCACGAAGTTGCGTAGTGGTGCGATAATTTTCATGCGTTTTTTCTACAGTTTTGTGATTCTTTTTAAAAGTTTAGAGAAAACGCAGGAAAATGTTCGCACCACCTTAAAATTTCGTCAGTCATTAAATAATGACAAAACGCAAAAACGTTATATTTTTTCACGTCAATTCCATCATAAGTTTGCCAGAAAAATTAAAAAAACGTGAATTTTGGCAGAAAGGGTGTAGAACATCCTTAATCCGGTACTTTCTTATAGATTAATCAACTACTTTGGCGAAAGAATACCGCTGTAATTGAAAAATCAAAGATGCCTCGTTTTGCTAATTATATTTTAGCTTCCTCAAGCTTTTGACTCACTCAAAGTAAGTTTTAGCGGTTGGGCGGCATTCAGTCCTCGTTTTTCGATTTTTCCGATGCAAATGACATTTTTGCATATGAGAATCCCAGTTAAGGCCCGGGTGGATTATTTTATATCACAATTTTCATTGGATTTCACATCACGCACAAGTCCCTAAAAATTATGATTGTACAACCAAAAAAAGTAGAAAAAAAAGAATATTTTCAAAGAGCGTTTTTAATAAAAATTAAGAAATAAGTCCGATAGAGAGGAAATAGTGAATTAATAATTTATCATGGTAACTAACGATCTGACAGTCATTGACTACTGTGACACATGACCACCTAACAGCCATTAGATGCACTAAATTATTTATTTGCAATTTCTCCCCTGTGGGTTTTATTTCCCAATATTATTCAAAAACGTGCTTTGAAAATGGTCAGCTTTTTTTCAACGTCTTTTTGATTGTACAATCATAATTTTTGAAGGCTCAGATTATCAGACTCCAGATTATCAAAATAAAAAAAATAATCAAGATCACGTTCAAAAGATAATCCACCCGGGCCCTAATAAAGTGATTCGACATTAATTCAGTCAAGAGCCTGAGGAAACCAAAAGGTATTTAGCAAAACGTCATATTCTTAATTATTCAATTATAGTGGTTTTCTTATTCTAAAACCCCTGATTTCCTGTAGTAAGTTTTATGGTTCCCATAGATTACCACAAAGGAATTGAGGAAAAAATGTCATAAGCCTTTTTTTGTGTAGCTGACGAAACTCTTATCCAAGAGTGTTATCCATAAGTTTCTCGATAAACCTACTCGTTCGGGAGATATTTCTAAAATAATTGGTAAATGCACTAAGCCAACTTTTTTTTCCTACGATTCTTCTAATTTGCCTCTATTTCCAGATGTCAAGAGTCTCGTAGTAAATTGAAATTCTCATCCCGAAAATCTTCAACTCCCAAATTCATAAGAACTTTTACGGACGAACCAGTCACCAGGATAAACACGAATGTAGCAAACAATGTTATTCTCTGGAAATTCGAACATCCGAAGTATTTTTTGAGAATGACTATCTTCAATGCCACACAGTTTACGATAATGATGATGGCCAGTTGTGTTGCATGGACGTTCATTCCGATATTCAGAGACGATATGACATGGAAGGATTATGCTAAAAAGGCGTACTTGTCGGTTATATTGTGCTTTTTCACAGCATTTGCAGGTGAATATGTGATTTTTCAAGTTTTTAAACAATATCTTGTGAATTAGTAATGTTGGGAGCAAACGTGAATGAAGATCCTTATCATTGTCTTCTTTTCTAAACTCCTTAGTTTGTGAGGTGTTCGCAAATAAGAATAATTCATTATTAATTCATTTCCAACATGTATATTCGCTCGAATTTTTACCTTTCGTGCGCCTCCCCTTTAAAGTAGTATGAACATCCATCAGTTGCGTAATTGAGTGTAATAAAAAAAATGAAAGTTAAAATTCAAAAAACAGTATCTGTCATTGATAATTTCTTATATGAATTTTAACTTTGATGAGTGTAAAAAAATGGTCCATCAAATTTGTTTTTAATTATGCCTTTAAACAATGGTCTTGCGTTTGACTAGGATATTTTTACCTGTGACGATACATCCAAAAATGTTTTCTTCTCCATGACGTGGTCAGAGTTAAAAAAACTATAGTTCGTGCTAGTGTTGAATGTTTCGAAATTCAAATAACACGCCATTTTGGGGCATTCAGAAAAAAAAATGTGTCGATAATTTTTACATTCAGCATAGAACTTTTGTACATTTTTCAAGATTTTTTTTCTAGATTTTAATCTTCTGTTTAACCTTGGCAAGGATATTATCTCATAGGACTGTTATTTATGCACTTTCAAATTAATTATCATCAATGATACTGTTAATTGAGCAGAAATTTCACCTGAATGTCTCCATTTAAATCAACCCTATTAAAATTTTATTTCAGAATTTAATCTTTAAGAATCGAGGTGTGTTCATACTATTTTAAGAGCTAGTGTTGAGAGCATTAACAAGGAATGACAGATTAATTGTGGGATGATCTCGGTATGTAACAAGTGGAGTTGAAGAAGCTCGTCAAAAGATTTTTTTTTGCAGAAAATCTCAGTTGCGTGAAAGATTCGGTTAAGATACCCAGTCACAATCAATTACTATAAAATCATTTCAATCGAGCAAGAAAAAAACATTAAACAAATTTTCTACAAAAAAAGATCCTTAAGGATATTCAAGTACTTTGGCTATTTTTTCTCCAGTCAAAAAAGTGCTTTTATACTTTTGTAGTCAAACATTTTCACATTTTATTTTCTAAACTTTGCAGGTCTGAATTTAACTATTAGATCGATCAGCCTGAAATTTTGCACAGTGCTAGTCCTCATTAGGAACTATAATCTGATAAAATTTTAGATTTTTTGTAATTACTTTAGACACTTAATTACTCAATTTTTCTAAAAATTGACCACCGGGAAGGCGGCGGTGGACGTGGTCACATACAGACATGGTCGCCAAATTTCGTATTTCTACGTTTCAGACCATTCTACATCATTTCCAATCAAAATTACAGAATGTGAAAATCGACGGATTGCAATGGTTCCATTCGGAAGCAAAAATTGCAATTTTGAAAAATTATGAACATTTTCTAAAAAATAATTTATAAACAATCAATTTGCTACCATAAAAATGATTTGTTTGGAATCGAAAAAAAATTTTCCGTACTGATCTTTACTTTTCCTCGTCCGGGGATTGGTATTGACCCTTCAAACGAAACTGATGTTCTCGACCATATGTTTTCAAATTGTTAAAATAATTTTGGGCCATGTTTAGGTCAGCAGCAGTAAACACTCAAGAAATTAAGTAATCAAAATTGCACTACGTTTCGAATGCTCTAAGCATTCCTCCTCAGGTGCATCATTTTATTCTAAAATAAGATATACTCCAAGAAATCCATATTCCCCAAGAACTCACGCTATGCTATTGTTGTGGCAAATAAACAACAGCCGTAACCTAGAAATGTCACCACCAATGTAGCAAATCACTTTATGAGTTGACAGTGCTGATCACACCATCCGTATGCAAAAAACTTTGTCAAAAAATTTCCCATTATCAAAAACAATTTTACGAATGTACGTCAAATAATTCCATGAAGTCAATGTAAACAGTAGTCATGAAAAAAAACAGTTTGGTGGTGAGATTTCTCGGTTACGGCTGTTGTTTATTCTGGCGAATATGAGGTTTGCAGCACGAGCCGAAGGCGAGGGCTGCAATCATATTCGTCAAAAAAGTTTTTTTTGGCCGTATGACGAACTAGTATATTTCGTCACTAGGCCGAAAAAAACTTTTCTGGCGAATATGAGGTTTGCAGCACGAGCCGAAGGCGAGGGCTGCAATCATATTCGTCAAAAAAGTTTTTTTTGGCCGTATGACGAACTAGTATATTTCGTCACTAGGCCGAAAAAAACTTTTCTGGCGAATATGAGGTTTGCAGCACGAGCCGAAGGCGAGGGCTGCATTCATATTTTTAAAAAATGTCATGTTTAAAATCATGTTTAAAAAAAAGTTTCCAAAAGTTTGAACAATTTCAATTGCACGGTTCGACCAAATCCTAAACTGACCCCATCTTGTAGATATTTTGATGCTGATTTTGAATTTCCTTTGAGAAATCTTTCTAGCAGATCTAGTTTTCGAGAAAAAAAATGTTAAATTGTTGAAAAATGGCTTAAATGAAAAATTTGCAAAAATGAAAAAAAAATGAATTTGAACGTAATTTTTCCCAGAAAAAAAACACGGATTAATGAAAATGTGATTTATTCCGTGGATTTCATTTCATCCCAATTGGTTGAGTTAAAATGAGTTGAAAAAATTCCGAAAAACTCCAAATTTCATGATTTTTTTGGTAAAATTTAATAACCGGAAGTTGGCTGTGCACACTTTGATGCACGCTAATTAAAAAATTTTTCGGGATTTTTTCAACTCATTTCTACTCAACCAATTGGTATAAAATGAAATCCACTGAATAAATCATATTTTCATTAAACCGTGTTTTTTTTCTAGGAAAAATTACGTCCAAATTCATTTTTTTTCCATTTTTTCAAATTTTTCATTTAAGCCATTTTTCAACACTTTAACATTTTTTTCTCGAAAACTAGACGTGCTAGAAAGATTTCTCAAAGGAAATTAAAAATCAGTATCAAAATATCTATAAGATGGGGTCAGTTTCGTTTTCGAGGTCCAATACGCCCGAATTTTGTCGAATCGTATTATTTATCCATAAACAACGAATGTTAAAAAAAAAAATTCTGTGCAAAATGTAATTTGAATGGCGCTGAATATTCATAATTTTTTTCAAATTTTTCTTCCGCAATTTAATTAACAAATTTGATGATTGAAAATGGTTGAATCGATAGTATGATGAGTACCTCACTGCAAAAGATACTTGGATATACTTAAGGAAATTCCCTTATCCTCCTTCAATTTGGAGATATTGGAGAAAAACTTGACTCAGTAAGAAGAAATTGACTTTTGTCATTCAACTAATTTAATACTAATATTCATTCTTAATTTATTAAGCAATTAGCACCGGTGTGTTGATCTGGATGTACACCTGCAGATCTCTAAAATACATAATCTTGAATAAAGGAGGAACTAGTGCGACTCTAGTAACTTATCATCCTATTAAAGGGTCTGCATCCAAAGTTGTGCCTCTCGAAGATGTAATGCGACCAAATATCTACTCGATTAAGTTGTTGGGAGGCAGAAAAATTTATGAACTAATGAATTCAATTCTTATTCTGTAGATTTTAATCAAGAGTGACCGAAATGATGTTGGACATTTCATCTCTTTGAAATTAAGAGGCACCGGCATGTATCATCTAATAGACAAAGACGGTATTTTTGTGAATCCAGATCTGTACGATCTAACTGTAGCCCTTGATCGAACCCCGAAAATTAAGAAGAAGAATCCTGACTCCCTTCGTGCATAAATAATGAGTTTTGTATTTTACTTGAATAATAAAATCTTTAATTACTGAATTTATCGATTTTTGTGACTACTCTCACCTTGGCTATAATGTAGGTTTTCCCGGTAATTTTTTGCATTTGGTTTTATACTAATCAGAGTGCAATATTTGAGGTCACACACGTTGTGTACTGACGCAGCGTTTCATTTTGGCTGTTGTACACGCACTCTTCAATAGCTACATTATATAATAGTACGAACACACCTCGATTTTTAAAGTTGAACATCTAGAATGAATTTTAAATGGGGGTTAATATGAATAGAAACATTCAGGTGGAATTTGTGGTCTATCGACATTCTAGGGTCATTGATCATAACTAATTTTGGAATGCTACATAACGCGAATTTTAGGAGAAAATGACCTTCTCAAAGTTAGAAAACGATAGAAATATACAGAAAATCTTGGAAAATAATAAACAAATAAGTTTAGTATAATATTATTCATGTTTTGAAAATGTGATAACGTAGCGTTGGTTGAGCGCTGGCCATGCCATGAATGCTAAATTTTAAAAAGCACTTTCGAGTGTACAGAGTTGCCTCTGATGGGAAAAAATTTGATGGATTCATTTCTCGCACTCATCGGAGTTTGAATTCATATAGGGAAGAATGGAGCAAATTAAAACCGTCGAAAAATGACTGACGCAATTCAAGCAAGAAAAATTTTTTTTATCAACTTTTGTTTATTAACTTTTTTCTTATTGGGAGTACTGATGAGATTAATAATTTTCTCTTCGGTAGAAAAGAACAAGCGGTACGAAAAAATCTCCTGTTAGATCTCGATGTTAACGTTCACTAGTCAGCTTGTCCCCTGACTCTTCAGCAGCCAAACTAAGACCTCGTCATCGCTGAATCTATGTTCTCAGCTCATTCGAAACTCCCGAAGGTTTTTCACATACTTCATATATCGAGACAACAATATTAATAATTTTCAGTAATTTTACCAACAGTTCTCTTTTCAAGTAACATGAAATATTTCATCTATAATTCAATTGATTACATTAGGGCGATTACACTGTTCTTTTTTCATGCGATTGAAATTCAACATCACATTTTCTTTTTCCCTCTGGGTCTCCCCCTGGGCCTTCCTCTGGCCTTTGGATTTTGCTGTTTCATTTTCTTTTCAATTCATCCATTGCTAAAATCTTCTCCCGTCAGAACTTGGCAATAATTTTCCATTCTACTGAATGGAAACTTATTATTGTCAGTAATTCCAATAATAAAAAAAAGTTAATGAAAAAAGTAGTCAATAAAAAATTTTGTTTGCTTGAATTGCGTTAAACAGTCGTTTATCTATTGTTTCATTTTGCCCCACTCTCCCCTAAAAAATTGTGGCGGCCTGCATGAAAAGGGGCCGATTTGTTGACATCCAGTTGTTTTTTCGATAATATTTATAACATTTCGTACATTTTAAAGCCCAAATCACCCTGATTCTGTGCAAAACAGCATTGCTAGAGAAGATCATAAAAGTTATTCAACATTGATTTAAATGGTAGTTGCGGAGATAAACGTGAATATCTTGAAAACTAGAATCGGAAAAGTGGGTCCTTTTCATGGCAACGTTCATAATTACCAATAACAGATAATTACTTTTCTGGGCAATTTTGAATTAATTTTTTTCCCGTTACCCTCAAAGACTCAACTGGACTATGTCCATACTACTTTGCAATGTCATTGAATGTGAAAATACTGGGTTTATCAAAAAATGTCAGAGAATTATTTTTTAGCTCACGAAATTCCTCTCAAAGAGTTCCCCTTGTAATTTAATCATTCAAACCTCTTTCCTCCCAGCATATCGCCAAACTGGAACTAACAAAAATTTGAAAATAAACTCTCAAATAAATGCATATACTTTATTCAATTTCCAGCAACAAGCTCAGAAAATAACACACTTTCGTAATTTTCCTGCTTTCTCACTTGACCATTCGAAACCCAATGAAAATTAGTCATCATTAATGATCTAAATATTACAGACCACTTTCATGACCAATTTAATTAATTCAATTGTGAGCAATTTTTTGTTTTTCCTCTCATCTAATTACGCAATCTTCTTTCCATAACACCAGGATATGATCGACTAACACAACTATGCGAATAAATATACAATAAAAAAAATAAAATCCTTAAACTAAGCTTTAATTGATTAATAATTAATTAATTGATGATCAAAAATTTTTACGATTAACGAAGAAATATGTGTTTAGGGCTCAATGACATTGAATATAAAATTATAAATTATTGATTTAAATTTATCCAACTAGTCCGATTATTTCTTGATATCTTCAATATTTTTATAAACATAATTCAAGAAGAATAATGAATAAAGCCTCGTTTTGTTGTCTCACCCACACTCAATTATTCTTAAACAATATATTGTTTTTTAATGATTTCTTCTCATATAACTACAATATCTTGACTATGACAATAATTTAAAATTACCTAATTGAATAAACCTAAAATGGCAATAACATTAAATTTCCCTCATCAATAATTTTTTTCTATAATTATCCAAAATTGCAGTTTGGAGTCTTTAATTCTTCCTGGAGTTTTCCCTTACTTCTTGTCGTTTTAATATGTAATAATAAATTTATCATATGCAATAAGAACATGTAAAAACTTTCGTGATTATTCCCTCAAGATTCTAGCATTAATTACCTGTTAATCAGGTAATGCATTTTTATTCATTTATATAAAGTAGGAAATATTTTTTTTTGTTTATTCATTAGTTCTGGATAGCTTTGAGTATTTTGATGTTTATTAGTACAATTGGATCGCTGGATGATTTGTTCAAGATTGAAAATTTTTGGATTGAAGTGGCAAAACATAAGGAGTTGGAAATTACATTTGTTAATTAGGATAAAATGTCAGAAAACCTGTTTTGCAGAGAAGAAAATGTGCAGCACAAAAAAATCCTCGATAGTTCCGGCTAGAAATAAATGTTTCTGGGGTAATTGCATGACTAAAAAATTTTTCCATTTCTATGTCTTCTTGGATATTATTGTGAATCGCTCGTATGATTCAATGATTGATTTTATTACAGAATTGCGCAATACTTTCGTTAAATGAAAAAAATTCTTACAAAAAGGTGATCTAACATTTTTTCCTACACTCATTAATTATCGACTGTAATACCCCAAAACTTTCAGAATTATCGAATATTTTTCAACAGTTTTGTAACATAGGAAAAGAGGGAGAGGGATCAGTTCTGTAGATTATAGGTTTTATTGTAAAACAAATCCTGGACGTCGACATGCAGAAAAACTTGAGAAAAATATCCGATAAATTTTGAAGGTCGAGAGATAATCGATAAATCATTAATGTGGAACGTATAATATGACCGAGGATATTGTACTCTGACTGATGGAAATCAGACTGGAGGAGATAATCAAGGGAATTCGATCATTGGCAAAATCAAGCAAATCGACTCATCACGTTTTACCGTTTCGATACAAAGCTTATTCAGATTCTCTCAACAAATTCAGTTTAATGTAGGATTTATCGAATTATCAATCATTTTCAATTGTTACCCTCGGACATTCAATAATGATCAATAATGATTCGATTAAAATTAAAAAATCGATTGATTTTTCCTTACAAACTACCGATCCCATTCAATTTATGTATACAGAAATACATACGATGCATAAATCCGCACTTTATCATTACATCAATTGCATTTTTTGGTTTTTCATACATTCCTTTTTGTTTATTCATTAATTTCTCGTTACATTTGTTCCTACAAATAAGGCACCTTCGACAAAATATTCATTTTATTTAAGCTATAGCGATATTATCTGATTGAATAATAGGGTGACCGTTGGGGCACCCGTTCCGGAATTTTTTATGTGCCGCCCCCTCAAAAAACTCGAAAAAAATATAAAAAATTCTCTCCAAATTTCAGTACTCTATCTCAATTCTAAAACGCCCTCGAAGAGCCTTGTTTTTCCCATAAGAATAATACGGGATTTTCATGGAAAATTCGAATCTATTTCCCCCTTGGCCCTGTTATGTCACTAAACATTTTATAATCATGGTAAATTACTGAGTAAATGAACTACTTTTGATGGAAATTTTTCGTTTTTTGTTCACATCATACAATAGTGCAACTATTCTTATACGAAAAACAAGGCGCTTGGGGGGCGTTTTAGGATTGAGATAGAGAGCTGAAATTTGAAGAGGATTTTTTTACATTTATTTTGAGTCTTTTAAGAGGGCGGCACGTCAAAAATTTCGGAACGGGTGCCTTAATGGGCGCCCTATTGAATAACTTCAAATTTACACTCTGGACAGAAGTTCTGAAGTGATGGAAAATTGCAATTATCTCGAAACAGAGTGACTTTCGGAGGAAAATTTAAAAAACCGCTTTCGTTGGTGAAAAAAAAATCCTATAAAAAATGGCTTTAGCCATTTTGTTCCGAATTCATGAATTATCGAGATAATAACAATTTTAACGAAGTGATAGAGAAACAGGAGACAGAGCAGTCAGAAAATTCTATACTGATTATTTTGTGAATGGCCCTAAAACTATTGGATTTACAGAAACATATCAAAGGATATTTCTTGTAGCTCACGTATTTCGCTATGAAAAATGTCTCTTGATATTTTGCTCTCAGGTCATTACTTATAGAGAAATCCACAAAATACCCGGCAAATACGTTTTTCTCCTTTCACCACTCCAAACAGAATAATAAACATTATTTGAAGTCGTTATCAATTATTCAATCTACATCAGACGTGACATATATACCAATTATTCAATATTTACAGTTGAAATTGAATATCAAATTGAAATATTCATCAAATGACATGAGAATTCATCATTTCAATCAATTAATTCTTTCAAATGATCATTTGTGTACATCGTGGAATGCTGGATTATTATTCGAAAAAGCATTTGGAAGAGATGGCATTTTAATAAAATGAAAAACGCAGAATGAGACAATTAATGATATATTGAATTAAATATTAAGAATGATCAAAATTAATCAATGAAGTGAGACAGAATAATTAATTAGTTTCGTTGATAATAGTACACTATTGTACCAAAGCAAAGGGAAATGGACGATTCGATTTTTTTAAAGCTTAAAACGATTAATTAAAATAATTTACAAGTAATTATAAAGTGCCATTGGCAAAGTATTGATATCTATCATACAATTTCGTGGACCATGAGTGAATACTTCCTTCTACGAGGTCCTCCACGTGTTGTCGCAGTTGATCTTCTGTGAGAGTCAAATGGAAACGATTCTTCAGACCTTGGACTGTGGCAGCACCACCACTGCGGAAGCATGGAAGTTGCGAACCTAGAGAAGAAGATAAAATTTTGGTACATGAATATAATTTTATAAATTTGTTTTTATCGATATTTTCAAATAAAACTATCTCCGGGGAGTGAATTACTAGAAATGTTGCAAAAGAATCGTTCTATAGGGATTTTGGCCGATGCGATTAAAAAACAGATCTTTATAGCTAGAGTTTTCATAAATTTGGTAATTACAGCGATATTCGTGAACAGTGAAATAGAGGAAATTTTTCTATTAATTCACTCATATATTGAAAGAACTACAGGTGATTTTGAAAAGATACCTGGCAACTTCAATTATTTTCGAGGAAACTGAATCATTTCGTCATTTAACAACAAAAGAAATTGAAATCAACAAGAAAATTGAGTCGGACTCAATTAGGTAAAAAATGGCGTGACTGGGCGGCTGGGTCAAATTATGACCTTTGTGGAGTTCATACCAGCTGTATCCCCGTCGCGAATCCTGGCTAATGCTAAGTGTTGGCGAAGCTTGAAACTTTAAGAATGTGCTTCACTACACGTTGAATGGGTTATATGAACACCTCATAATTTAAATTTTCTTCTTTTGACATGGTAAATTATTGAATTGTGTTTAACCAATTCATTTGCGTCAATAAGGTAGGCGCAATTAAGAGAGTTAGAAAGACTTAAATTTTAATGGAGAGGCAACGTGGGAGTTTCTAAATAAAAAACCCACTAATTGCCAAAATAATCAGTAAATTCGTCAAACAAACAATGCCTCACCTGAAAGCATGATCTCCACAAGGTTGACCACCTTATCCATATGTTTTCTAGCAGCCACTAGCCCCTGCAGTATGAGCCCCTTGAATTCTTGGAACATCTTGGACCCACTACCCCCCATCACCTCAACAAATTCAGGTGTCAGCTTGAAAGGACTACTCTCGAAACCAAGATTTCTGGGCGATGCCGAGAGGATGAACCCAAAATCAATATGAATGAGATGTCCATCACTATGCAACAGGATATTCCCATTGTGTCTGTCCTTCACTTGTATCAAGTAACAAATCAAACAGTAAGCTGCACAGCTCTGCAGGAAATTCCTCTGAGCGACAGTGAATTCCTCAGAATTGACTGATCCAAATTCCCTCTCGAAATACTGCAGCAAGGTTAACTGACAGTGCTTCTTAATCTGATGCAAGGACACAGTATTTAGAATTGGTTCAATCAGTCCACTATCATTGGATAAACACAATATCTTGTACGGCCTCAACCAGAGTGGTACATTTTCCTCCTGCCAAATCTTTCCCAGCATTTCCAATAGCTGCGAGGCCAACAATTCCTGTCTGAGATCATCCCCACATTTGACAATAGCAGCAAGAAGTCTCCAGGAAGCTAAATGGCCGTAAGGACTCGATGCCCTGATCCTTCTCTGTTTCATCTCCCAGGGCTCCTTGAGAACAGCAGCTGAAGGATCCTCGGGATCATGACTAAAAGTTGCTGAAGGAGTTGCTGCCATCTCACTCAATCTCCTCTTTATATCCCCGGGTACGAAGATCGGCTCTCTAGAGTCCGATGAATCCTGACTCAATTGGGATATCGTGTCTCGATCTCTGGTATCTCTTGGTCTTCGTAGCTGGAGGTATTGCTGAGTGATTTCGTCGTCTTCTTGACTCCAACAGTCACTGGGATCATCGTTCATGAAATCTGGATAGCTGAAGGGATGATTTGAAGGGGGGTTCGATAAATTTGTTGTTAGCGGTCTGTTCGCAGTCTTTGAAGGGGTTTTGTTGTTTTGTTGTCCAGATGTTGTTGTCGAGGGAATGGATGGATCCTCTGAAGGATTTTCACTCCCTGTGAGGTTTTCTTCAGATTTTGTATGTCTCAAGGAACTCCCCATAATTTTAGTGGGGACTGGAGAGGTGTAGAGATCTTCCACCTCAAGGACCTCCACGTAGATGATGTAAGGGGCCTTGTCCTTGCTGTTGAGCACTGCTGCGTACTGTGGGGGTACCCTAACGATGTGATGGGGGATGGAACTGTGTAAAGGAAGCCAAACTCGCGCTGGAAGGTTCAGGTTGAGGGTATTGAGCTCTGCTACGAGTTGGACTGTTTTAGCTTCTTTTGTAGGAATCGTGCCAAGAAGTTTTCCAATCGTTATGAGGGCCTGAATGAATTCGAGTTCTGGAGCGAGACGAGGGGCATCACAGAAGCAATCAGTCTTCTGGCCTCGGAGATCATTCACTACACCTTGGCAGGAATGGAAACAGGTACATCCGTTGTCGAATGCTCGGCCGGAACTGAGATCTCCCAGGTTTATTTTACTTATTATACCTGTAATTGATTAATAATTTATTATCTAATAAATGTTACTATAGAAGAGATATATTGTAGGAGTTTGAAATTTTCATACGGATTTTGTTTTACTACCGGAGTTTTAAGGATAATCGGGCGAGCCCAGAGGGTGGGAAAAAAAGCAGCCATTTTTTTCTTTTTTTTTACGTATTCTTTAAATGCTGGAAAAGGCGTGTGCAAAGTTTCAGACTGCTGGGGAGTATGGTTAATTTATTATGAATTTTTGAAAAAGTTGTCATTTAACCCGTGATCTTATGGAAATCACCCAAAAAACTGCAAAACCCAAGGAAAAAATGCAGCCAAAGTCATGAAACTTTAGACACATTTAGAACATGTGATCAATGATTTTTTGAGTGAAAAAGATTGTCGCCTAGGAGCATTGTTTATTAATAATAGCGAGAAAAGTACTGAAAAATGAAATTTCTCCGCACGCAGCCCAAACGAACAGCAACGTCCCAAGTACCGAGCGGGTGGGGGTAGCGCGGTCAATTTAAACGTCTCTTGAGAGACAGCGATGAAGCGTTGTGATTGGAGCTCCCTCGAGCCAGTGGTACCAGCTCCTGGTGAAAAAGGAAAAAAACTACCGACGATGTTGCCACTTTTTCGCATGGATTAATATTTTTTCATTTATTAAAAAAAAAACAATCTGAAAACCATTCAATGCGTGGAACAGATACAAATAAATTTGATTAGCTCCAACAATAATTTTTAACCGGAGATACTCCCTAATATTGCCTGAATTTTCAATCCGAATGGGAAATTTTGTTTTGTTCAGCGATTGGTTTTCTGCAGGAAAACAATAGAAACCCCTCCGCCTCACCCCCTACATTTCCTCCACGCCCGATTATCCTTAAAACAAAATGTTTCGAGTGGAGGGATCATCACTCATGAAATTCTTCCTCGACTGTTACGCGCTTATGGCACAAATTAAACTCGTCCGATTTATTCGATATGATTTTTGCTTCCTAATGTAAATCTATGTAAATCAATCCGAATATATAGACACTTTAATGTATATTTTGGAGATATTGCCGTTTTTCCTAAAAAATCTTGTGCGCACGATAACTTGAGAAAAAAAGGAGATAGCAAGTTGAAATTGGATAAGGATCTAACTTTTATAATACTAAAGGCTGGTATTTAGGATGGGCGCAATCGGTCGTGCGGTTCTATTAAAAAAACAGATTACTTAATTTCAGTAAAATATCCTTGCAATTCAGTACCAAAAAACCAGCACAATTTTCAGCACGTCTGGCGATTGGGAGGGGAGAGAGGCTCTGTAGTTCATAACAATTTATGAAGAAGGCGGAGGAGATTGTGTTATCCATTTTCCTCTGAGCAATTTTGGATTTAGACAATTATGATTCGTTTATTCATGTTTCATAGAATAGTATCCAATTCTTTTTTATTTGTTAGACGAGCTTCATGAAAATTGAACGTAAGACGATTGTACTCATGAAAACCACCTTATTTCATTCGAGATATCCGCCATGTTCGAGTTCTCATTTTCGATTCGAAATATGGTCCATATTTTTTTTTAGACAGTAATAGCGAGCATAAATAGTGTATTTCATGGAGATACGTCATTTTACTTCTGGAAATGACTATTTTTGGTAGTTATGTTAGTCTGTTACTAAGTTGAGATGTGACCCATCATCTAGGATTGGAAACTTTAGGGCGAATATTACTGATTATTCTGAACTAGCGAACGGGTGCTTCGCGTCATACCTACAATTTTTCATTACTTTCTTTTTCTTCAAATTAATTAGTGCTAATGATCTGAAAATGTGAACGAATACGAAGATTTTACATCCTTTTGATCTCATTTCAATGGAACCGAAGAAGGAAATTGCAAAGAGAGATCGCTCATCATCAATCAGTATCCATAAAATGAAAAAATATATTTTTCTATATCTTTTCTAAATTTTTCTAAATGTTTTTTTCTTTTTAAAAGATGAAAAGAGATTAACATTTTTAATTTCGGTGATCATATTCCGTGCATAGAAACAGAAAATACGGAAAATGTAGGGAAGAAAAATCAGAAATAAAGTTTTACAATCGATTTTTCAATCTTAAAAAGTTCAAAACATTTTTTTTTTAAATAATGAAGAAAAACCAATGAATTTTCTTTCTATTATCGAATTCTGATGGAAGGAAATGAAAAGAGGAAGAGAAACGAGATCAACACGAAAACAGAATTTTTAATTTTTCAATGTCTAGGGAAAAATTTTATCGGATTATTATTATGTAATAAAAAGTTCGATGAAAAAAAAAGGTGAGGATAAATAATCAATTACCAGAATTACTACGACGCAATGATTGAAACAGCCCAGTAGCATCGGATTGTGATCTTTGGTGTGTTTTCTTATTGGGTGAAGTGATGAGTTGAGTCGGCGGTAAGACCATTATTGCAGCTGCTGGTTGGAGCCCTCCTCCCTGTATGGAAACTTTATGTTTTCTCGTAGCGTCAGTAGCTCTCCTATTCCTTCGGAGCTCATCCGAGAGGATCAGATTCTTCAGTTTGGTCCCGTGTGACTTTTTTTTCGAGGGCAAATGTGCATCCGAGCTGTATGCATCCAAAAGCCATGCACATTTCAGTGAAAAATCTGCTGCTTGTCTACACCTGCAAAAATATATAATTAAAAATAAGTATAAGTTCCGAATTTAGTGGCCCTAATCATATAAATATCTCGTAGACAAGTAATTTCATGAGAAAATATAAGGAAACCATATTTTAAAGATGATTGAGTTCTGCACAACAAAATTATTGACATTAATTTTATAAACGTACTCATCAATATTGACAATTTGACGCGTTTGGATTTTTTACATTTATTTGTTTATCTTTATATGGTTTATCTACCATTTTAGAATTAAAATTCCATATTAAAGGACATAAAATTCTGTATGAAAAAACCATTTTGATTTTTTACTGTAATTCTAAGATATTCACAGCATACTCAGCCAATTGCAATTTGTTGTGCATCGAAAGATTTAATAAATATTTTTTACAAATACATACCTATGGACAAGATAGGGATAAAGCACCTCGGTGACATCATGCAGCTGAATATACATTAATACAAGCTGTGGTAAATAAAAGTCGACATCCCCATCACTGAAGCTAAACAGTTTATTCCCAAGATAGCTCTGGACGCCAGGTTCCTTGGAGTTGAACAAATAGGAGATAGCCATCGACATATCGAAGATCTGGCTCTCGAACAGCCTTAATAAACACCCCTCAGTGGCCTTGGGCTGTGCAGTCTCCTGCTTTCTCACTGGTTTGTCAGCTTCCACTTCTTCAGGCTGAGTGGAGCCACAACAGAGGACAATTGCTGACCCTGCTAATTCCAATTGCCTTTCCACCACTTCCTCATTCCCCTTAAAAACATTCTTAAGACCTAGTGTTGCCTCTCTTCTCTCCTCTTTGGCTGTCTTATCATTGTACTCATCATAGTCTTTAGTTTTCTCCACGTCAACATCAGTTTTCTTTGTAATGATCACAATTTTATCACCAGAAATGTCAATTGGTTCAGTGATTGGGTCGACTGCATCATTGATGTCGACACTGTCCATGTCTCCCGATTGGGACAACGACGAGTCGAGACTCTCACGACTATCCAAATGGTCAACACTCGATTCACGAGTGGTCACAGCTGCTGCATCGCTCGAGCCACTATCGGAGCCACAGAGGATTCCAGAGTCGTCGGAACCTAAGCTAGCCAAATCCTCGCGTTCACGACTTCGAGGTTTTATGGTTGGGGTCGAGGATTTTTTGGAGATGTCTGGGATTGTCTCACATTCTGGAGAGGGGGTGACGTCCACCTCTGGGATACGTTGTAGCGCGGAGTCCAGGCTACGGTTGCGATGGTGGTTTGTCAGGGTAGTCACAGTTATTTGGGGGACTGGTGGTAGCAAGATACCCATCGACCTGGAACAGTAATTATTGGGTATTTGTTTAATTGGGAGGTGCGAATTGAACTGAGGATAGAGAGAATTTGTTTAGCTTTAAGGGGAGACTACTATGAGTTTTAAAAGTCGCGGGCGATTGGAGTAAGATTTCTTATGCATTGAAGATCGATTATATATGTGTAAAAATGAATAATTAGTGCAAAAAAAAATTGTTTATTGTTCGTGTGTCCCGCAGACGTTTAAAATGTTAAAAATACTCCAGGACCTCAAATTTTTTAGCTACAGAGGTTTCTTTTTTTTTCAAAATTTTGGAAAAAATGTGTGCGATAATAATTACGAATTAGCTTTTTGAAATTCGACTCCTACACAGCTAATTTTGTTTTGTTGAAAATAAAAATTTGCGCCATTTTTGTAAAATAGGCAGAAAAATTATCCTTAAAATATTAAAAATATATTCTCAATTCTTTCAGAAACATTTTTCGCGCTATTTTACGTAAATGGTGCAATTTTCCATTAAAAAAATAACGAAATTAGCTGTGTAGGAGTTGAATTTCAAAAAACTAATTCGTAAATGTTATTGCACACATCTTTTCAAAAATTTTGAAAAAAAAGAAACCTCTGTTGCTCAAAAATTGGAGGCCCTGGACTATTTTTAACATTTTAAGTGCCTGCGGAACAATTGAACAATGAACAATTTATTTTTTTTTGCACTAATTATTCATTTTTGGACATATATAATCGATCTTCAATGTATGAAAAATCGCATTCCAATAACCCGCGACTTTAAAAACTCATAGTAGTCTCCCCTTAAAAAACTTTTGAAGAATATATCGACGATTCGAGGATTGAGAACAAAAACAATACCTCTTGCTATTTGCGTATGAAGGCCGCGTGTAGAGGATCTTTCGAATGTTATCTACACTGGTTCCTGAATATTTAGTAAACCCCATGTGCATCACATAAGAAAACTAGCGTTCGCCATGTAAAAAGTAAAAAAAGAATGACGTATTCAGTTATTTTTTGTGTGGATAACTGATATATGAGCACACAATCCTTTTATTGCAGATGACAGCTCAAATGCCGGCTTAATTCCTCAATTTTTCCGTACATCGTACGTGGCGATTTAGTTTTGTTTCAGTTTGAAACAGGATCATTGACTAATTCTTGTGAACCCTACCAATCGCACTAAAGATTTTTTTTGTGATTTACGACCTGTGTGCACTGCACTACAGATTTCTTCCTAGTATGTATGCCGAAGGATTTTCTCAAAGAATCTGAAACTAATGTAGATAACGTACGAAAGATAAACGGATCTCAGAACGATAATGACCGAGGCAATTCAATTTCTTACTCTGCAGATTATCACTATAGTTTGGCATACTTTACCACCGACGCAGCATTTTCTCGACAGAATGATTTATTACACACAATGGTGTTTCTTTATTTTGCAACACATCTGATGTTTTGCATTAAAATTGTGTCCACAGAAATTTCAATCCTTAGATTCGAATTTCACGACTACCATATTGACTTCGCCTAAATTGCAATGTGCCACCCCAATTACACATTGTGCAACGTGAATTTCACATTTTCAATACAAACTTGTAAACGTTTAATTTATTGGTGCTTAGTTCCAGGTGGATAACTCAAATATGTGCAATTAAAGAAAAACACAAAATTCATAGAATTCGCGCCTGGATTGATGGATGTCATTTTTATTCAATAAAAAAACCACATGCTTAAATAGTACACAATACACTGAAAATTTACGAGTTTAAGTTACACAATGGGAAAATCACATTGCACAATGTGGTACAATTCAGTCTATCACAATATGTATCACAAGCGTGATTAGAATGTGAGGATTACAATTTCAGGAGAAAGGAAAACATTAATCCAATGTGTCAAAAAATGCTGTCTCGGTGTTAACGTATACCTTTAACTTGACCAGTGCAATTGATATTTTAAGGAACACTCGTTTTAGACCAAAATATTGAATGGCAAAATTTCCAACTAAAAAATTTCTTCATATTTTTTCCTTGCAGGAGCACATGATTATTACACGGAGAAAGTTATTTGGTGAACCAACTAATTCATCAAATTCACGAACTAGTTGTTGAAAAAATGAATTATCAACCAGTTGTTGAATTTCAAAAACTAGTTGTTGAAAAAATGAATTACCAACCAGTTGTTGAATTTCAACAACTATAGTTGGTGAATCTCAACAACTGGTTGGTAATTCATTTTTTGAATTTCAACAATTAGTTGGTGAATCTCAACAAATAGTTGGTGAATTTCAACAACTAGTTGGTGAAATTCATCAACTAGTTGGTTCACCAAACAATTTTCTCCGTGTGTTAATTTAAACTCTTGAACTTTACCACGAAATTCGTAATTCGAATAGCTAGAACCCGCGATCGAACTTTTGAGGGTGTGAAGAGCGACAGACAAATTTTTCCAAACTCGCATCAATAATAGATGACGTCAACCCAAGGGTTGGGAGAGTTGAACGAACTAGAAGTGGTGAGTAACGTTTTTATATTTCTATGGAAGGTCAACAGCTCTCATTTCGATATTGATCTACTGAACTAACCCGCATGTTTTCTCATCCCATTAACTCCAATGCTTCATCGGATATCAATGCCGTAACCAGCCGCCACAAGACGGATTTTATCAACATTGTATTTTTTTCATTTTTGCAGTAATATAAAATTGAAATAGGTCTAAACAAGTGGGAAATTGCTCTTGTCTTTATATGGTATTGTTATTTTTGCACATAATTTTCTTCCATGATATATAATTCATTTTTTCATGTTATTAAATTGGATGAGATTTATTTTCAAACAAGTGTGCCAGATTTTCAATTTAGTTGAATGTTATCATTATCATTGTCTTCGTGCTGTCCTCCCCTTATCCCTTTGCTATTTCACAGGCTGACATTCTCGTTCAACCTACGTGGCATTTACTTCACGAGTTATATTTTCTATTCACGTTTCGGTATTTATATTTTTGTTCAACTGTTTCCTAGTTATTGGAATTGGATTTTTTAAATCTATTCTGCATTCCACAAGTTTATTGTCTACATAAGCCACGTTTAGGCCGTTGTTGTCGATTATTATTAATATATGATGGATAAGTCGAAATTTTAAAAAACACCATAAAGATAAAATCAACAGATATAGCTATCGTAATTATCGTTCAACTTCGACAGTGTGCCTTTGAAAATAACATTTTAAGCAAGCATTGAATTTATTTAAAGCATGATACCGCCGGAACTCCGATTTTCAAAGAATAAATTTTGCAAATTTTTATATAAATCAAAACAATGATTTATTGCTATCACCTTCATCTTCGAACTCTATCAAAAGGTCATCCGAATGAATTTTCAAAGCCATCAATCTATGAATTCAGAACATGTTTTTTTAGTTATAGAGGGCCAACCGATTTTTGGAAAAATTTAAATATTAAAAATAATATATTTCTAACTTAGGGAGGTAAAATAAAGAAAGCGTACCCACGTGCGGAATTGCTACCCGAGTCGAAGGCGAGTCCTTTATTTTACTTCCCGTGGTTAGAACAATTTTTTTTCGCCGCCGGGTAGGCGCAAAGTAAGATTTTCCTCCCATGAAGCGGGAAATATTATGAAATCAATTAAAATTTCATTCATGTCAATGAATACGACTCAACAATACCTAAATTTAAGAAGTAGAAATCATACAATTCCATCCATTCGTTGGTGAACAACTACATCTGCATATATACATACAGACATACGTACGGACACGGTCCAAAATAGTATATTTCGTCGTTAGACCGAAAAAAATTTTCTGGCGAATATGAGGTTTACAGCACGAGCCAAAGGCGAGGGCTGCAATCACATTCGTGAGAAAAGTTTTTTTTGGCCGTATGACGAACTAGTATTTTTCCGGCCTGCTGTTGCGATGGGGTTTTTTACTCGTGTGGCGTTGGCCTCCGAGCCGTAGGGGAGGACTGGCCAACCACACGAGTAAAAAACCCCATCGCAATAGCCCAGGAACAATATTTTTCTGTAGTGATTTTCAAGTTTTCGAGTTTGGGAAGTATGTAATACCAATTCCCAGACGAGAAATCGTGAGAAGCAGTACAGAAAAATATTTTTTATGTCGTTGGGCCCGAAAACCGCGATCTAACCGAGCGAAGCGAGCGAAGCTTTTGTCCAACGACATGATAGTATATTATGCTACAAGGGAGTTTTGCGATTACATTTTTGCCGAGTTAAAATGTCATCGCAAACTCCCGCGTGGCATATACTATTTTTTGTCACACCTGTCACGAGTTTTTCGCACTATGATTTAACGAATAGAAGTTATTTATACTATTATTTAATTATTGCTGTTATTTAACGAATAGAAGTCAGATGGAGTCTGTAGTAGAAGTATCTAGATAATAAGAGAAGGTGCAAAAATTCAAGTAATGCAGCACATTAAAAACACAAATCGTGCTGTTTTTTTTTATTAATTCATTATAAAATCTAGAATATATTCCGTTCAAAAGAGATTACGATTTTGACTTATGATGCATTATTTACTTTTTGGGTGTGGATATTATTAATTGTCATGTTTTGTAAGGAGCAATTTGATAGCATGGATACATTATTATTAATATTATCAGCAGGTGGAGTATTACCATTAGTTTCAGTTAATATTCTCTTCACGGGCACTTGATCGGTAGACTTTACAGTACTCGAAGTACTGGGGATACATTGATTGGCAATGCGGGGGACTACTTGACTCGTATTTCCCAGAGACTCTCCCACATAACCTTGAGCGATGATAGCCGATTTCCAGCCCCTATGTTTCATTAAAATAGTAGTACTAGTACCCGAATCAGCCAGCAATGTCGCCGAAGTTCTTCTAAACGCGTGACCTGTATATCTCTGGATTTTATCAATTGGTAGAAATTTTGCAATTTCTTTGGGTATCTGCGAGAATTTATTTTTCGACGCTGGCTGATGCATACATTTTGCATTCAAATATTGCA